CAGGAGTTTGAGGTTGCTGTGAGCTAGGATGACGCCACGGCACTCTAGCCCAGGCAACACAGTGAGACTCTGTCTCAAAAAAAAAAAAAAAAACACTAATCTCTGATATTCTTGGCTATAGATCATGCTGCCTTGTGTTGCTTCAGTTCTCTTAAAGGAATAGTTTTTAATTTTCTTCCCTTGATTTTAAAAAAAAGGTTCATTCTATGTTGTATACATTTTGTATTGTGATAAAATATATGTAACTTAAAATGTACCATTTTAACTATTATTAAGTGTACCATTTGGTGACATTAAGTACGTTCACACTGTTATGCAACCATAACCACTGTCCATCTTCAGAACTTTCTCATCATCCCAGATTGAAACTCTGTACCCACTAAACAGTAACTCCCCATGCCTCCCTCCTCCTAGGCCCTGATCACCTCTGTTCTTCTCTTTGTATAAATTTGTTATTCTTGGTACCTCATATAAGTGGAATATACAATATTTTTCCTTTTTTAATTAATTTTTTTAACCTGGTTTATCACTGACAACAATATTTGTCCTTTTGTGTGTGGTTTATTTCCCTTAGTATAATGTTTTCAGGATTCATCCATGTCGTAGCATGTATCAGAATTTCATTTCTTTTTATGACTGAATAATATTTATTGTGTGTGTATGTGTGTGTGTATATATATATATGTGTATATATATATATGTATATATATATATATATACACACACACACCACATTTTATTCATTCATCTGTTGATGGACACTTGAGTTGTTTCCTACCTTTTTGCCATTATGAATAATGCTGCTGTGAACATTTGGTGTACAAGTGTCTGTTTCAGTCCCTGCTTTCAGTTTTTTTGGTAATATACCTAGGAGTGGAGTTGCTGAATCATATGGTAATTCTGTGTTTAGTTTTTTAAAGAACCGCCAAACTCTTTTCCAGGGCAGCTGTACCATTTCACATTCCCACCAGCAATGCATGAGAGCTCCAATTTCTTTACATCCTTGCAAAACACTTGTTACTTTATTTATTTAATAACAATCCCGGTGGGTGTGAAGTGGTATTTCATCGTGATTTTGATTTGCATTTCCCTCATGACTGGTGATGTTGAGCATCTTTTCATGTGCTTATTTGTTGTGTACATTTTAAAAATATAATTTCTACTTTCTCACTTGATTGGCAAAGATGTATTGACTTGGCATCCATAGCTTTCCCCATTAATTTTTTTTAACTAAATATGCTGATTATTTTCCTTTTTTTTTTTTTTTAAGATGGCTCTGAGTAAATCAATGCATGCAAGAAATAGATACAAGGACAAACCTCCTGACTTTGCATATCTGGCATCCAAATATCCAGATTTTAAGCAACATGTTCAGATAAATCTGAATGGAAGAGTGAGGTAGGTAACAGATTAAAAATTATTGATAATGTATCATTCTGGCATGATCTAAATGGAAACAATGTAGCAGAAAGCCGATAGGACTGATAGAATACCTGAATGTTAATCATAGACATTTCATTAAACTTCCCATGTAACCTTGGACGAATCACTTAACCTCTGTGGGCCTCAGCTTTTTAATGTATAAAATGAGAGCATTGGACTAGATGTTTTTATATTTCCTTCTGTCTTAAAAATAATTTCTCTTGATGTCCAAATCATTACTTACCCTACAGAAACCCCGGAGTAAATGCAGAGACTTGGGATTGTGCTGTTTAATCTAAAACTTGGTGTCTAGTGAGGGTCTGAAGACATTATTTTAATAAAATATGTGTTTATTTTGATATGAGGTAGGAAAATAATAATCAGGACATCAAAACCAATTTCACAGATAGTATTAAGATGTTGCTAAATTTAAATTAAAAAGTTGATTTTTAAAAATGAAGAAAATAGGCCGAGCGCGGTGGCTCATGCCTGTAATCCTAGCTCTCTGGGAGGCCGAGGCAGGCGGATTGTTTGAGCTCAGGAGTTCGAAACCAGCCTGAGCAAGAGCGA